TCGCTCTTGCATCAAAACAGCACCAATGCCAATACCTAATGCATCACATTCAATTTCAAAAGTTTTAGTAAAATTAGGTAGAGCAAGTAACGGTGCAGAAATTAAATTTTCCTTAATTAAATTGAAAGCATTCTCCTGTTCACTTTCCCACTTAAATCCAACACTTTTTTTCACAATTTCAGTCAACGGTGCTGCAATTGTGCTGAAATCCTTGATGAATCTCTGGTAGAAACTCGCCAAACCATGAAAACTCCATACCTCAGAAATATTTTTAGGTGTCGGCCATTCTTTAACAGCCTTAACCCTTTCTTCATCTACTGCGATTCCATCAGCTGAAACAACATACCCTAAAAAAACAATCTGATTTGTGCAAAAGGAACACTTTTTAAGGTTAGCAAACAACTTTTCTTTTCTCAACACCTCTAGTACCATTCGGACATGCTCAATATGTTATATCAGAATGTCATCAAAATAAATAACCACAAATTTGCCAATGAAAGCACGCAAAACATGATTCATTAATCCCATGAATGTACTAGGCGCATTAGTTAATCCAAATGGCATAACTAACCACTCATATAAACCATGTTTCGTTTTAAAGGCTGTTTTCCATTCATCTCCTTCCTTCATCCTAATCTGATGATATCCACTCTTTAAATCAATTTTAGAGAATATGCAAGAACCATGCAACTCATCTAACATGTCATCTAATCTAGGAATAGGGTGACAATACTTTACAGTGATTCTGTTGACCGCGCGACAATCAAGGCACATACGCCAAGCCCCATCCTTCTTAGGCACAAGTAGCACTGGAACTGCACATGGACTCATGCTTTCTCTCACATGTCCCTTTTTCATGAGGTCTTCGACCAGCCTTTGAAGTTCTTTCGTCTCATTGGGATTGCTTCGATATGCTGGTTGGTTTGGAATTGTTGCACCAGGAATGAAGTCAATTTGATGCTCGATTCCTCTAATTGGTGGTAAACCATTAGCAACATCATCTGGAAACACATTCTTGAAGTCCTGCAAAAGAGATTTAACAACACTAGGCAAAGAATCATTAAGTTCGTTAGCGTTGAAATAACGCAGCCTTGACATCACTTTCCTTTGCATAAACAATTACTGATTTTCTCTCTTTGTTTTCAACACTCTCAATCTTTTCTCTCTTTTTGGACTCTTTTTCTGTTGTTTTCTCTTTGTTTTTCATACCCTCAAGCTCACTCTCATTTCTCAGCTCACTCTCTTTTTTTACTCTCAGTTGATCCTCATAAACCTGCCTTGGAATCAATGGTGCAAGAGTAATTGTTTTCCCTTCCATGATGAATGAATAGTGATTTTTGAAGCCGTCATGTGTTACTCTCCTATCATATTGCCATGGTCTCCCCAAAAGTAAATGTCCAGCATGCATGGGAACCACGTCGCACAGTACCTCATCCTTATATCGTCTGATAGAGAATGAAACCAGAACTTGCTTATTTACCTTAATTTCTCCACAATCATTTAACCATTGCAGCTTATATGGCCTTGGATGCTTCTTCATAGGTAAATTAAGCTTTTCAACCAAAACAGTGCTAGCTACATTAGTACAACTGCCACCATCAATAATCACACTACATACCTTATTTTTGATATGGCACCTCATGTGAAATATGTTGTCGCGTTGTACTTCGTCATCTTCTTTGGCTTGCACATTCAAAGCACGC